TCAGTCAATTCCTGTTTAAGTGTTCAGTTCTTTTGGCTGCAATGTTGACCAAACTTGTCAAATGTCTGGTTACACAAAACTAGACCATCAGTTCTAGTTACCATTTTGTTTTTAAGGGCCCCTTCAAACTTGAGGCCTCTTTGGCATGACCCTCTTCCGTCGATGACCACCACTGCATAACCCAGAGACGCCAACGTGTTCAGACGCAGATACTTCACACCCTTGTAAGAGTTATTCACTAACTGCACCTAAAAAAGAAACGAGAAAAGATTTGAAACTAGTAAAGAAATTACAATGCAAACTTCTAGTGGTTGTGTCACAAATTCAATACAGTACTGCATTTAGAGGGGACGGCCCGTGCTAAAATGACCACTGTCCCCCCCTTCCTCACTCTGCTGTGGTTCATAGGATTTTGTACCAGTTGTTTTTTCCCCATGCATTTACAATTCATGGTGAGTAGAGCTTTCAAGCTTTAAAAAGAAGAAAGCACCACATTCCAAAAACAATACCATAATCAAAGACGAACCTTCTCTCCGAATGGGCTGTGATCAGCTGAAACCAGATCAATGAATCAATGAGTTTTGTGAACTCCCAAGGTGAACTAAATATTTTGAAAAGATCAGACTCGAAATAATTATTTGTTGACAAATTTGTAATTTCTCTCATTAACAGAACAAGCCGTGGAGCGTTACGGCAGAGGTCAAGTTATTTTACTGAATAAAAACTGATGTGTTCATTACACAAATCTATCATGTGACTTGGAATATATTGCACAAGTTATGCATGCCAAATGGATTATTTGTTTATGTGTTATTACTACTATTATTATTTTGGAGTTTGACAGTCCCAGCCCGAGCCAAAGAAAATCTATAGTGACACTTTTCAACCAAACCCACCTGTGGGCCGCCGTACACAAACAGGATTGTGGGGTGTTTTTTGCCTGGTTTCAGGTTGTGAGGTTTGTACAGCATTCCATAGATCAGGAAACCGGAACTAGCAGGGAAGCTGAATATCTCAGGAGGGACATAATCAGCCGGGCAACCTGCACAGCACAGACAAAAGCAAACATGTTTTCAGTTATTCTTTCCTATTGCTGTGTAACATCACCCTGAGCTCACGGCCCTGCTCTCACCTGCAGCCTCCATCATGCTCGCCCAGAACTCTGGCTCTTTGTGCAGGGGGTCACTGTCAGAACCCGTCAGTTTGTAGACGTGAACGCACGGAGGTGTGCTCACGTTACTGTAGTGGCTAATGAACATGTCAAAGTTCTGCAATGAAACAGAAGAAACAGACAGTCAGAGACTGCATA